ACCACCAAGCCGACCCTTGAGGTTTGGTACCCAGGCTAACGAGCCTCCACCGCGCGAGGCAATGGTATTTTCCACAGTCACGTCTTCTGTAAAAGTGACACACACGGCAGAACATCCACGTGAGAAAGCGGATGTGAAAGATCCATTAAACCACATTATCCACACAACGTCATGCGTTTGGTCGATTTCTGCAAATCCTGTTTCTACGTTACGACCGCGTCCCTACCTATCACCGTTTCCCTAGTCAAGCCTCGATGTAAATGTGTATGAATGAGAAAAATAAACGCGTCGGACAGTTTCTGATAGCTGCATAGTCAGTGGATCCCAAAGTCAATGTCACCCCGGAAAAGCAGAGTAGACGTTCAATATTATTCCAACTTATAATATTTCCTCTTCGACGCCCGAAAGTCTCTTCTTTTCATAGCAACTTATATCAATAATGACGCCTTCGCTTCCTGTCTCATGACGTCGCAAGCAACGGAAATCTATCTCTCGTGACGTACAGACGTTTTTATTCCTGTTCCTATCTTATTACATGTCAGTGGGGTTTCGGGACATGACCGAAAAATGCAGCCAAATGACTGACCTGTATCTACCAAAAGGAATAGAAGAAGAGCAAATCTGTTAACACCACAGATAGATCGGTATTTCAAGATACTAATGCCCAAGTTTCATTCTAGAATATCACTTCCTTCTTGATCTAAAAGTACTTTGTATGTAGAACGTTTTCATATGTCATAGAGGCTTTCTAGACGCTACGATGTGTGGGCATCTGTAGGGGTCCTCCCTGTGATATCACCATGTCTGGATATTGTATATAGTAGAGGGGATTCATTCGTCAAGCTAACCGACATCTTGCACACGCAGTCGTCCCTCAGTATATATTAAAGACACCTGGAGCCGAATAGTTCCCGTTTAGAACTTTTATTAACCTGTCAGGTCTGGATATTGTGATATATGACATGTTCTTAACACTGCCCTCTACGTACCGGGAAGCTCTTTTCCGCTGTCAGCTGAACTCAGTGATAACAGTGCTGCAGCCACGTAGGCCACAGTTGTAGGTGATTTGGTTAAACGTTTTGGTAGATCCCGCCATTCAACGTACATTACGATGACTCCGAAACATGCAGGAAACATGAAGAAAGATTAAATGACCACTGAAAGACGTCCCATTTTTGAAAGACAAGGTTTCCTTATAGTATACAGTAGAGTGGATTCATTCCATAAGCTACCGACATCTTGCACACGCAGTCGTCAATCGGTAAGACATATGGAGCTACATAGTTCCCGTTTAGAACTTTTATTCAGCCTGTCACACTTAAGGTTTCCTAATATTCACGTAGGTGCTAGTTGAATGGGGAGGATTTGGTAAAGCGTTCTGTTAATCTATCTCTTGTTTTCGTGAGGCCTCTGTCCGTAAAGATAAGGCACCCGGTTTCGGACAGGCAACAGATAAATAGTCAATTTAGACCAACCCTAAAGTGGGACCCCGCCAGGACAGATAAGCGGGAGGCAAGGCAGGGCTCGAAATTCATATTTGGGAATAGGTGCACTGGTGCATCCACCTAAGACAATTATGTGCACAAAAAAGTTTTGGGTGCACCATATAAGATAAAATAAGTAGAATGCCAGCAAAAATTAATCATGTTTCATTCCTAAAGAAAAGTACTACAACAATGACTTTATAATTTATATGCTAAGAATATGCTGTATACTACCATACACTTAACATCTTTACATACATAAACCTACGAAAATATTTGGGTGCACTGGTGCACCAACAGAAAAATGTTGGGTGCACAGCTCCAAATTTGGGTGCACTAAGGTGCACACGCACCCAGTATTTCCAGCCCTGCAATAAGAAGTACGTTTCCGTCTCTGACGGGGATTGAATCATGCATGAGAGGAAAAGGTTGAAATAAACGCCGGGGAGAAACGAAGTAACAGAACCAGACGTCATAAACATCGCGAGTACTCTTAAGAGAGTTGTCAAACGAATTCAGATCCTTCCCTTACGGCACATCACGAGGCTGAAACCGCAGTGCCTGACTGGTTTTATTGCTGCGTGATGAAGAGGGATGTGGACGCTAGTTTTATTACAGTCTGCGGGCAGCTGATTTAGGGCTTGCGTCAAAGTCCCGCCAGCCTGGTTGAACACAGTAAGTCTATGGAGCTGCATTTCGTCGTTTTAATAATGTGAACATTGAATGTGAGATCTTCTTTGTGTGTTTTTTTTCATCATTAAAATGAACTACGTATGAATTCTTCAGACGTCCCACTGAGTTTGTACGTGTCTGCAGCTGTCTGGAGATTTTATACGTAGGCCTGGGTGGCATATATTGATTGGACGCAAATTTTAATTGGAAACGGAAAAATTCCACACGGCACGACTCGAAAGCAAGACACAGCACGGCACGCCAAAAAGCAGTTACTCAAGCAACTGGATATGATTTTGGAAATCGTATTACCAGGGTGTCTAACCTTCACCGACGTACAGCACGGCACGATTCGACAGGATACGCCACGACACGCCACAACACCGGTACCACACGATCATGTGCACGACACAAGTACGACGCAATACAACACGACAATTTAATTGCACAAGACACCCTCAAAACTCCGACACCCTATAGATTTGAAGTAGAGCCACAGACATTCAACAAAACGTTCCCCTTGGTCTTCCATCATTGATAGAATACCGCATTGCAGAATGTCACATGTATTATAGACAGACTCGTAGTAGAGAAAAATGACTTTCTAAAATATGACGTGCAATGCAAACTGTCCGTAAGGCATTCAACCATAGAAAAATAAGTCATTTGGTGGCATTATGGCCATTATACAGCAAAAGAAACCGTACCGTGCATACCCATTGTGTTGCAATAAATGGGACCTTCGGAAAGTGTAGAGTGAGCGCGAACGGCAAATTCACCATTAGTGGAAGTCATTATTTGAGGGACACAATTTCAGCATGCTATTGGGCCTGTTAGCTTTGCAGATATAAACGGCCGTGCCTACGCACTTATCGGTCATCGGATAGCCGTGTAGGACTTCCTGTTCAATCTGGTAACTATTGCTTGTACCATTGTATTTATAACTCTAGACAGCCTTCGGTTAAAGTTACCTTACTAAGTTCACAGGTAGAACATATAGATATAGACGAGAGTAGCTAGCTCTGTGGGCACTTGGTAAAAGCTAGGCTTTAAATCGTATGGTACAAGCTTAAGTCTAGAATAGTGTGCCGATGACTGGACTGACTGGAAACGTCAGCAAGGTAAACTATCTTGGTTGTGTAAAAGAAAACTTCTGTATTCTATACTTTACCAACCTGGTGAAACTATTTTCGGGAGAAATTTATTTTCCTATGACCTATCCACCCGATGAAGCCTGCCCTTATACTGATAGCACGATGGGATACGAGTACTGAGGGGATCTGTTTTTGGCAAGAAAGCAATCGAATGCCCATCTATATATATAGCTATGCCGCACGTATCATAAATGATCTATGAAGGGGCAAGAAAGTTTACATGACCGATGGCACACTGAAAATAGGCATTAGATCACCGGTAATGTTTCATGTTACAGTAGGTCATTTGCTATATATAGGTCCAAGCGGGAAATGATCGTTGTCGCAGCTATATATATAGTAGAGTGGATTCATTTATCAGGCTAACCGACATCTCAAACACGCAGTCGTCCCTCAGTAAGACATCTGGAGCCGCATAGTTCCCGTTTAGAAACTTTTATTCAGCCTGTCACACGACCTGTGTGGCTTCTTCAAGTGTACAGTGTGCTAAATGACATAAGTACATGAAGTTTTCACTCTTATATACCTTTCCGGTGCATATTGCCCTCAGGTCAGTAACTGGGCGTTCGGATCGCAGTACTGGCCTTTTGGCTATATATAGGTCCTGGCGGAAAATGATCGTTGTCGCGGCTAAGTGTTACCGAATACGCACCATTGCTTGCTTAATGTGGCATGGACAGTCCACCTACCTCACAGGCTAAAGTCATTAGAACACACTAAAGACAGATGTACGCGTCAACCGACACATTTAGCAGTACGGACTCACATCCATCTAACGTCTAGCTGTAGATGAATAATCGGCCACATTGTATTTCTGAACGAGTACGGCAAGTCCGGGGACTGATAGTCGTGGCAGTGAGCAGAAAATACTGCTGGAGTTCGAACTACGAACTACCATAATAACTGAATGATAATGTTCTACTTCGGTGATTTCCCCGATCATCTTGCCAATGTATGTTAAACTATTAATATCTTAAATTGCTGTATCCAAAGGCCCTTATATTCGTTACTGCTACTTAAGTAATACTATGATCCTCACCATTAACAATTAGGTAGAAAGAATTGACAGAAAAATGTATAGAAGTCTCATTTTATTTAAATCATTTTCTAATCATCTGCACTAAAATTATTGCAATTTCTATAGTAAGCCCTGTATTCCTAAGACAGAGAGATAAAAATCAGTGATAATACAAAACTACAGATTATCTACAATTTAGCTCTCTCTTTAACAAGAGTAAAAAGTTACATAGACATTTTTCAGGCATTTCATTGAAAATAATCAAATTGGAAATCTTTTTGCCTGATTTGCACAGACACTATTGAAGGAAATATCCTCAAGGCTATTAAACATGACTACAATATTTTATAAGCCAGTTGCACATGTCTAGGGCTATAATTGCACATAAACAAGCTTGAGCTGCACATCATTTGCTGGTAGAAATATTTACAACATTTCAAGTAATTTCTGCAAAAAAAGTTCAATATTCACAATGTTCTCTCTTTCACAAAAGCTGCCACCTTACAATTTAATCAAAACAGCGAGCAACAGCCATTATCATCTAAAGTGACAATTTTTTTCAAAGCTCTGATATCTAAATACAATCAATCTTTATTGCGCAACAATTGCAATAGATACAATGTATGGCAAGTGTTTAAATCAAAAGATAACAACAATACTAAAATCTACATTCTACTCTAAATTTGATAGCCAGGCTCTTCTAAAATACAACTCAATCTTCTACAATGACACCTATAGCTAGATGAACCCAGCTCCCTTTGCACAGTTTGCTGTAAAAGTTATTATCAAATGTACTACTTGTAACAAGATCTTGAATTTACAATGCATCTGATCATACATAACTTTTACATTGTTGTGCAAGCACTGCTTGTAGTAAAACATTAGGAATTTGTACCTATAGGCATTATACATTCCCTGATTCAGACATATTTCTTATATTATGTATCATGTACATGTACATGTACATGTACATGTACGAGTACATGCATATACAATCTCAATGTTGCTTAAATAACAAGAAATCACAAAATTCCCACAGGAAATATTGCACAATATATAATCTTAGGCTCTCAGGTATCAAAATACTTGTTCTTATATACAAAGTTGTTCTTATATACAAAGTCTTTACTGTGAGTTGTGATGCTTCTACAGTCTGATTCGTGTAATTAACCTGTAGGCTTGGAATGGCCTTCGGGTCACACCTTTAACTGGCCAATGATAAAAAACAACTATTGTATGAAATCCAAATCCTACAGAATCTGACAGAAGTTAGATTTCTTCATCATGCGGCTTCTGACTTTGATAACAGGCTGATCAGCTTCCTCTGCATTCCCGTTGACAGACTGTCTGACTTAATTAGGGAGAAGAGATGCTATTACAAAATTTGACAGAAGTTAGATTTCTTCATCATACGACTCCTGACTTTTAAAACCGGCTGATCAGCTTCATCTGCATTCCCGTTCACAGACCGTCCACTGAACAGGTTTTCTTCCTCCGGTTCCGGAGTTCTTGGCGAGGGAAGCAAAATGTCCTCAATGATGACGTAGCCTAGTTTTGTTGTCAGGACAATGTTGTCTCGGTTGGCCACGATGTTGGTGATGGTTGCGTACACATACTGGGCAGTCACCATGTTTCCTGTGGACAAGGAGAATAAGCAGTTCCATCAGACAAATTGGAGATAATTCAGGCAATGTAGCATGTTTCAGGGTACGTGGGTGCAGGTTAGACATCCAGGTAATAAGATACACCAAAAAACAGTTACTCATGTAACTGGATATGACTTTGGAAATGGTCAGACGTTTCAGGTAGCATCCACTACCTTTCATCAGTGACACTAGAGACTGCAGGAGAATGGCAGGTTTCAGCCTTGCATCCTCTTTTTACAAACATATGCAATCTTGAATGGTCTTAGTTAAAAGCTTCAATCAAATTGTAGTTCATAAATAATGTGTTAAAGATTGAAGTGATATTTCTCCCACCTGTTTGGAGGTCCCACATCTTGAGTGACCTGTCGTGGCCCCCAGTCAGCAGGTACTTGTCGTCGTGACTGAACGACAGGCACACGATCCCTTTGAACACGGGAGACTTGGCGTACAGCTCGTGCACCAGTCTGCCCGTGCCCAGGTCCCAAACCCGCATGGTCTCTCCCGTCGACCCTGATGCCAACAACTTCTGGTCGTGGCTGACGCTCAGACACGTCAGCGGGCTGTCATGGCCCACCAGGACATACACAACTTTGTCCTGCTTGTTATCGAAGACCAGAATCTGCTTATCGTCCGTGCCGACTGCGGTGTATTTCCGGTCGTCTGTCATGGTGACGCAGGTGATTTTTCCATCACAGTTCGGTTTGCGGGTCCAGAGAAGCGTCATGGAGTCAATGTCCCAGGATGACACGGAGTTGTTGTCTGTGACTGCAACCAGGTACCTTTATTAAAAAAAATCAAAGAAAAACACTTATTAGTTATTGGTCTCCAATTCGAGGTGTTTCAGTGTCAAATACCGTAGGTATCTTTAGCTTTCCAGGGCCTAAACTTCACAATTTCTGGTAAATAAAGCAATGGTTGCCCAGGTGGCTGCCCTGGGTAGGTTGCTTAGTGCTTGCGTCAATGTGGAAAATTTTCGGGACCGAGAAAAAGCGGCATGCGATGGCCTGGTGCTTGGGTTGAAGAGGCGGTCCCCTGTGCAGGTTTGACTGTATAGTCATGTACACATACCTGTCCATACGTGTGATCCAGAAGCACCTGATGCCACCTGCGCCCTGGTCCAACTGCCGTATAAACTGGCCCGTGTTCAGGTTCCACAGCTTGATGAAACCTGCCTCGTCTCCAGTCACCACACAGTTGTTGTCGTGAGTGATTCTCAGGTAGGTTACAGAGCCTGCAGGAAAAAAGTGTTTTCAACTTTCGTTACAATCACAAAATTTGTGAATTCTTTCTTCAGGTTGGTAAGTCACTGAGTAAAGTCAGACACTTTTACACATTCAACCAAGTGTTTTATTCAGCCAACGTTTCGGTGACAATGTGAACCAGTCAGAATTTCCCTGAAGAAGGTGACAGATGGTCATCGAAACGTCAGCTGAATAAAGACGACAGGTTGTGCAAAAAGAGTCTCTTTACTTGAGCACAAAATTGCTCATACAAAATATTACATAAATATGCACTGTTGCTAATAAAGGTACAATTTAAAATTGGTCGATTTACACTTCAGATCAATGTAAAATGACTACAATTATAGTGTCAGACTTTCTAAGAGAATAGGTATGGGACAACTGCATGTGCAAGATGTCGGTTAGCTTGAGGAATGAATCCATTCTTCTATACAGAGTATTCAGAAGTTAAGTTACCAAAAGCTATCTAACATCAAAATGTAACCACTCACCATCCTTGTCAGTGATAGTTCGGACGTCTTTGCCGTCTTTTGAGTTCCACACGCTCACCTCGTTCTCGCTGCCCTCCCGTTTGTACACCACGTACCCTGCATCACACGTCACTCCCACAATGCTGTGCTTGTCGATGAACCTGGGGGTGGACATCTTCATCTTGCTCTGTTCGACTTCCCAAACCTTATTTTTAATCAGAAAAACAGTAATGAATACAAATGAATGAAAGGGCACAGACAAAATGGCTGCGAACTCAAGTTAGGCACAACCTATTTACAATGTATATTCTCGCAAATCTGAACTGGCGAGGACCCTGCTGCAGTGAGCCACCCCATCATGTCTTGTATAAATGTATATTTACTAAGTAAACGCACTAATGCACTTGTCCCGTCTTTGGCACACATAGAATCAGTTGTTCATGTTCCCTTCTTGATTATCCTTTTCTTTCCTTTATTTACAAATGTACAGTGTATGTACTGGATCACAATTGTTACTGACAATGCGCAACCTGCCAATAATCCTATATTGTAGGGCTAGGAAGAAATGAAGAAGAAGAATTGACTATTTTTCAAAGAATGCTGAAGAGCTTGCCGAAGAGGACTGAACGCTGGTAGGTACTAGTATATCCCAAACCTTTGTGTAGTAGGAGTCGGTGGACGCCGTCACCACGATGTACCCCGTCACCTCCATGGCCGTGATTTTTGCCGCCTGTCCGTCCAGCGTCTGGACAAGCCGGCCGCTCCCGAAGTCCCAGACGTTCAGGTGTTCGTCCCGAGCTCCGGACACGATGACCTGCAAGATTCAAGATCACTTGACACTGTAAGGATTTTGGACACTGAACAAGACTATTTCCTGAGAGTGGTGAAGGAGGCTATTTAGGCTATTCAGGGCCCATCACCCTTCACTAAACCACGACGGGGGCCGACATCGTCTACAGATACCTTTGACCCAGTGTTGACGTCACACTTCAGAGAAGCCATGTGACAAGCCTCACTGGGTCAGTCTACTGAGGAAGACCAGGGTGCTGGTCTAAAGCTCTAGGTGAGAGAATTTTTCGTGTTGGCTCTAAAGTTTTAACTCTAAATATGTAACTACCAACACGGATGAACTTTCATGATAGTATGTTTAAAATAGATAAATTCTGTACCTTGTTGTCGCTGGTGATGGCCACACAGTCCACGATGCCGTAGTGCCCCTGCATGTGGCGGATCTCTCTTCCCTCAGACAAGTCCCACAGTTTCACCACCTTGTCCGACCCGGATACCGCATACTTCCCGTCTGACGTGATGGCTAGAGAGTACACCGGGTGGGAGTGCCCTTCTAACCTGTGAACCATATTATATCTGTATCAAACCTGTGAATAGCAAAGTTCTTTTTATCACAACCATTTATTTTTCACTAGCCGACGTTTCGATGACCGTCTGTCATCTTCATCAGGGCAGTATGGACTGGGTTACTGTGCACTGACACTAGATGTTACTTGGTGCATGTCAGTGCACAGTAACCCAGTCAGGATTGCCCTGATGAAGATGACAGAAGGTCATCGAAACGTCGGCTAGTGAAAAAAAGAACTTTGCTATTCAGTCGTTTACCAACCTGATGAAATCATTTACGGATGTATCAAACCCGATTAACATATTTCATTTTTGTACCTTGGCTACCATGTATATACTAGGACTCTACCATAATATTGTATTTTTAAAAATGTATGTATTACTAACATCTGTGTCCATAATATCACTAGGGTCCATAATATTGCCACCTTGAGAAACAGTGTGCTTAAAGATATTTTTACTGCAACATACCCTAGGTATGTACATTTGAGGTGCGCAGGAGTGCATACCAAAAGTATGTTGCAGTAAAAAATATCTTAAAGCACACTATTTCTCAAGGTGGCGATATTATGGACCCTGGTGATATTATGGACACTGATGTTACTTCCATTTATGTCTAACAATTTTCATCTTTCCCCCAGGGTGTCCCTTAGTAATATAGTCTTTGACTAGTTGGGACACCCTGGCTTCTTTGTAAGCCGAATAAATAAATAAATAAATAACCTTAGTAAAACGTTTTTATTCCAACACACAATTTACAGAGATCAAATTTTCAGTGATCACTGTCGCCTTCATCAGGATAATTAATGACCAATCACTTCACAACGTGATCTCGCGAGAGTTACGGTTTACAAACACGTGACCTTATTCACACGAGACTTTACTGATACGTGACGTAAGCAATTGATCAAAAGTGCCAGGGAGTTTATATCGTCCACTATCTCTATTGAGTGAAGGCTGAAGTGCTCTGACATATAAAGCCTGCCTAATGCCTCTTAGAAAGTAGATATTAATAAATAAATAACCTGTGAACCACCTCCCCGCTCTCCATGTCTATGACAGAAAGCGTGGCGTCCTTTGACCCGGAAACAATCCTGGCATTCTGGGTGACCCTCAGGCAGGTCAGGTGACCTGTGAATGAATGAGAATGAATGAATGAATGAATGAATGAATGAATGAATGAACGAACGAACGAACAAATGAATGAATGAATGAATGAGATTTCATTTTTGTGTCGTGCGCATTCCCGCACCCAGCCCATGTGGGCTTATACGACACCGATTCAATAAATTATACATAAACAAAAGAGAATCAAAGGTACACATAACAGAATCCAATCAAAATATGAACACAAATAAAGGTAGGCTATATACAATAATGGTGAACAAAGTGAACTCATAACAGATCGTAAATGCAAATAAACAAATCTGTACATAATGAACCAAGATCTCACAAAATAAATACAAGTACATAAGGTAAATCAAACATAATAAGAGAAAACAGACGTGCAGAAGTAAGAAAAAGTGACAGACCTGTGTGTGTGGAGAAGGTGTTTCTCATCTCGCCTGTCTCTGTGCCCCACATCTTGATGCTGTTGTCCTCTGCTCCGGTGATGATGTACCGGTTGTCGTGGGAAACTGCCAGGCAGGAAACAGCGCCCTCGTGCCCCTTCAGGGTGAACTGCAGCTTCCCAGACTCGATGTCCCAGACATTAACCTGAAATACAAAGCAGGAGAAGTTACTATAATTTTAAAGTCTTAAACTTGGGAGTCTTTCTGGTACATCAACAAGAAGTAATGAATTTCAAATTATTTTGCCATTGTTTACTGTAAATTTGTGGGATTGTAGAAAACAGCCTCCAGTTTAATTCTGGACTTCCAGTTTAATTCCGGACTATTTCTCATATCTCAACAACCTTACATCTAGATGGGCTAATATCGTAAACTATAGGTAAAAATGTTGTAAGAAATATGTATATGTAGCGGCCATTGAGGACCACTTAGGGATTAAATCCATATTGTAAAATTCTGGGAACTGGCATCAGAATTCTGGGAAGAATTCTGCAGAATTGGCCACCTGTAACCAGTTATTTTAGCCCCCCTTGCCCCCCAGAATCTGCTTGGAGATCAGTAGTACATGTATATATGACTCCCCCACTCACCCCATTGCCGACAGGTGACACGACCCTGCGTGAGTCCCTGGTGGTGGTGAGCAGGGCGCGGTGGCTGTAGTGGGCGTGGTCCTCCTCCATGCTGATGACCAGCCGGCCTGTCTCCAGGTTCCACACCTTCAGGGTGTTGTCCAGCGAGCCAGACACCAGAAGCTCGTTGTTGGGGGCAGCAGAAATTACCTCAATGGCATCTGTGGCAGACAAAAGTTTTTTTTTGTGATGTACACTCGTCTGACGATGGCCCAGAAACAGTAGGAGAAGAAATACTGAGGAGGAGATCAAGAGAGTAGCGAATAGCTGACCTGAGAAAGACAGCCCAGAGACGAGTGAAGTGGAGAACTATCAACAGTGGCCTATGCGCCAGCAGGAGGGAAGGGCCAAAGTACATGTAAGTACATGTAAGTATTACTAAGTACACTTGTCTACACTACACATTACAGTTGACAGCTACAAGTAAAAGAATGCCTCTGCGGAAAACACTACAAAATGATGGGGTAAAACTTGGACTTAACTCACTTAAGGATATGGCAGTAGTGGCGCAAGACCGAAACCTTTGGAGACAAAAAGTCAGACAAGGAGTCGACCTATGCAACAAGGTTGCGGGAGGATCTAAGGTCTAAGGTAAGGTCTGCTGAATAGGTCTAAGACTTAGACTAAGGGGCTAAATCAGCTACCTATAATGGCAAGAAGCAGAACTCAAGTCAGAAGCTCTGAGGAAGGTGTCTGATAGGCACCAAAACATCAGCACTTACTAATAGGTGAGACAATCTTGGTTGTGTACAAGAAAACTCCCGTATCCTAGCCAAAATATATGAATGCAAAAAAAAATTTGTGGGGCAACAACCTACCTGTGTGTCCCGTGAGTGTTCTCTCCAGTTCCATGACGTCCGACTCGTTCTCGTAGATGCGGATGGTACAGTCTCGCGCCGCCGTCACCATGTAGCCTCCGTCTGGAGTCATGGCGATGGAGGTGATGCCGGCTCTGTGATGGGCCAGGGTCGTCCGCAGGGGACCGCCTGGGAGTGGAGGTAAGGTAGAGTCAATACTCTCACACGTCTTCTTAATTATGATACAACAACCTGTGGCTTTGTTTTATGCAATAACAAACTATGAATTCAAATAAAAGCTCATCCGTGTTGGTAGAATCCAAAGTGTTGTAAAGTTAAAGCTTTGTTCCAGCACAAGGAAGGAACACCCGAAAATTTATCGTGAGTTCCATTCTTGTGTTGGAACAAAGCTTGAACTTTACATAAAAAAACTATGAAGTTCTGACAACAATGGTAATAGTTTTTTAAATCTCAGATTTGGCCTTAAAAATGGATGCTTTAATTATTAGTTAGAGTTATATATAATCAATGTTTTTTTTTGCTTTAACGTTATATGAATTTTTTCAATGTGATATTAATTATTAACAGCTTTTCATATGATCTTTTATTTAATCTCTTCTGAGTAAGCAAGCAAACATTCATGCAGTTTCAAAGCAGGAAATTGCAATAAAGTGCACAAATCTACAAGCAACATACTCAATTAGGCAGAGATCATGCAAAACACCTGTTAACTATATAATTGGTAGACCAAATAGACCATAATTATGCATCTTAATGACATGGACTCGAATCAACAGCTGAATCTTTTGATCCATCTGGATCATGAAGTTTAGCTGGTAGTTTTGCTTGGTCCCAGATATCATTGCACATTCTTTACACGCATTTGAATATAATCTACAAGCACAGTAATTAGTGTCTAGGCATTACAAGCAACAAGCAGGATCACACACAGAGCATAATGCTGATGAAAACAGAGCAGCACAATTTGCAGAAGAACATGCAGGGTTCCACATAATAACAGCTACATGATTGTAACTATTATAGTTACACACATAAATGACAGGGGAGGGGGGTTTAATCTGGTTCAAGTTAGTCTGTGATTGCACATGTATTCTCAACACAAATAAAGAAAAAGCAGTGAATTAGACAGTGTGTTAATATCATGTGTTACTATGTGAATCAGGGTGGAACCACCTGATGGGATGGTTGGACAAAGATCCAAAAGTACAAAGAATCATGAGCACAACAGAGTGTATTCGATGCAGTACATGGGAAACTATACAAGATATTGATACAGCAACTTGATATACATGTAGTAGGATTTGATATGAATTTGACTAGATGATCCAATGATAGTGTAGACAGAGAGAATAGATGATGTTGGTGTAGATGCTCATATTGCTGGGAATGACGGACACCACAATGACTGCTGTGCAGTACAGTATGATTGCTGCTGGGATTTGGAGTTTGCTATTTTGTTTTCGAATCAAATTTTGCAGTAAAGTCATCCATAAATTTCAGTTTCAGCAGCAGTACTGGTAATACCTGGGGGAGGGAATCCCGTTCCCCGGGTAACAAACATCAGTTCCCCGCTGGACACACAGCGGTCCTGACACCACCACATGCACTGCCTCACCAGCGTCCCGATCCGCTCAAAATGCCGACCGAATGCGGACAGGCGCCCTATAAGCTCAGATGCTGGGAGCATGTTCACGATGGAACCCTTTTGTGAGAAGGCTTTCGAGAGAGAGAGAGAGAAGAAACACAGAGGTGTGAAGGCTTGGAGGGAATAGCCTGGTATCCAGTCTCACGTGGTATAGGGTCAGGTTTTTCTCGGGGCTGTAGGAGCTCTGTCCCGCCCGCCTCAGCTAGGTTTCCCGGTGTCTTCACAATGGGAGATTGATTAGTCCTACCACGAACATGTTGGTAGCCTGGGAGCCAGATCCATAGCACACTGGACACACCGTGCTCACTGAGATACTTTGTGTCCAGTGTTCTATGGGTCTGGCACCCAGGCTAATATGTTGGGGCAAACCAAATCCCCAAGCATACCATCAGTTGTTAGCGTAACCGGGTTGGCCTGTTTCACTGGGCGGGGGAAGCTATTTAGAGCCCCCAAAGACACAGCCTGTCTGAACACCCTAACACCCGCAATCACGTAAGACTGGATACCAGCGAGGCTAAGGATCGGAGGGGTGGGTATACCTGGTGGAGGGAAGCTTGAACCATGTGGTACGAAGGAGGGCGCCCCCCTACTGACACAGTTGGCACTACACCAGGACAGACACTGGCCCAGTAACTGCCTAATCCTGACAAAGTCAGCGCTATACGAGGACAGACGACCCACCAGCTCTGCAGACAGGCTGTTGACAGCGTCTCGCTCAAAGGCTTAGAGGAACAACAACAAAAAGAAAAAAAACATGCGTTATGGGGTTAGCGGCTAGAGGGACACCCTATGGAGCGGACAGTTGGTAGTACCTGGAGGTGGGAAGCTAGCACCACGGGTTATCACCGACATGTCTGGTTCCTTCTCGTGCCATCGCGTGCAACAGGAGCGTTGCGGTGACTGGATATTTAGCTGGCCCTGGGGTACCAGACGGGGTAGTTTGTCCCTGTCACACCATCGCGAGCACCAGGCACGACACTGGGACACGAGGGACCCAATGTGCCGGGATCGGTCGCTCAGCCAGTCCAAGCGACCGACCAACTCTGTGGCCAACGGATTGGTGTATCCTCCTAGGGAAAAAACTTCTGTGTTAATAACTACATGGGAAGAGAACCGATCGTTATATACCTGGTGGGTAAATAGAAGTGCTGTGAGGCAGCATGAAGGGACGCCGCGTCACGCGGTCGCAAAATTTCGTGCACCACGCCCGCGACTGCTCCAGGAGGCTGTCCACGATTGGTCGGGACTGACGTTCGAACGGCACGAGTCGACCAATCAGCTCCAAGGCAAGATGGCTGGGCACGCCACCTGTTAGGGTCAAAGGGCACCACATACATACACTATAGAGTTTCTACAATCCGGTTTCTTTATAACTTAGACTGGAAAGGAAATTAAAAGAAAATCATCTGATGTTAAAGAATAAGGGGAAGTCTTGACAACACAGAAATGCAGCACAGCTAAGCCATCACCACACCACCTACTAGTAGCAGTTTAAGAATTCAAGGTTAAAACAATTATCTACTGCAACTACAACAGAGGAAAAATGCTTTGTGATTAAATATGTTAAATGGGCAGAATCAAATGCAAATGCCACAAAAACTCCAAAATCTACAAACAATGAGCACTAACAGTAATTGTTCATAATAGCAGCTAATGCAGTCCCCTCTTTTAAGATATAATATCACAATAAAACTAAGCATGCATTCAATTTGCATTGAAAAATACATGGTACAATTAGATAATAGCATACATGCATTAATACACAAAACTCTAGAAATGGTAGCTACAATTTACCTTACTATACATGAGTAATACACAATTTTAAGAATATTCAAACTGGAAGTGAACTAGAAAAATAAACAATCAAATTTTGATTAAAATCTTACAACAGACTCAGTGGCAAAATGCATCATAATTTTTTCCCTTTAGATCTTCAGTCTTGAATAAACTCTTTATTCAAAAGTGCCAAACAGACATAGACTGAAGTAAATGTACCTTTAAACTCTAGCGTGGGTTTGATGAGCCTGAGAGCGTCCCTGAGCAGCCTGATCTCCAGGTTATCCTGCAGCTGCAGCACCATGTTGTAATCCTCGATCAGATCCTTCACACTGAACGCATCAATCATGTTGTTCATGAAGTCCAGATTACCTGGATAAGGAACAATATGATATGCATGAACCTGGGCACCAGTTGATAGTCACTCTCTAAGCACTTACTACTTTATGTTACAACTTGCTGAAAGCATTGTCGTAACCTGCTTGCAGCTAATGATGAGAGAGAAGGATTATTCTTAATTTATAAGGCCAGTAGAGAGTGTGGCCTTGCCAGTGTGGACCAGCTAGACAGAGTTGCTAGGAAAACTTGTGTGAAGACGAGCTGACTGCTGCCCACCCTTGAGTCAGGGTCATACCCGCAGCAGTTAAATCAAAGACTGGATACTACATACTACTAGTATTTGCAACAAGACAGCACAGAAATGTCATGGTGTTAGGTATAACTTTTAAATAACTAATCCTCACCCAGAGTGTGTTTGAAGATGTCGTCCATCCTGCCTGCGTGGAGCAGGTGAAAGGTCACCTCGTTCAGTTTGCGGCGGTTGAAGACGTTGTCGTCGTACTTGTCGGGCTGCGGCACGACGTTCCGGTCGGCGTTGTAGTACTCCCGCTTCCCATTCACGTCCATCGTGATCTCCTTCCTGCAACAGTTTTGTTTTTGTTAGTCAACATGACACAGTACAGAGTAAAGAGACTCTTTTTACACAACCAAGTCTTTCATTCAGCCGACGTTTTGGTGAGCGTCTGTCACCTTCCTCAGGGCAATTCTGACTGGTTCACATTGCATTACAGCACAGGTGTCACTGCTTTAGATGCAGCGAACCAGTCAGAATTGCCCTGAGGAAGGTGACAGATGGTCACCACACCACACTTTCCTCACTTCACTCAGGTGTAAATGAGTACCTACAATGTAGCTTCGGTTAGGGACGTCCCTCGGATAGGACGTGAAATGGAGGTCCCGTGTTTGGGATAGCCACATCACTTATCGAAAAGAGTAGGGGACCTTCCCGGTGTGAGTGGTTCAAACCTTACAGTCCAGTCTTATGCAGCTTGTACATGTACGTACATGTACATAACTGGTGTGTTACGCCTAAAGGCGGTTTACTGCAGTTATGCGAAACGAACAAACCTGCGCCCGTTGCTCCAGGTGCCGAGGAAGAAGTCAGCCAGGATGTGGTGACGGGCTCGGCTGTTGTCTCCCGCCAGGTACCGCTCCTGGGCACACTCTATGAACTGTCTGTTGGGGAGGTACAAAACAAGAGAACTCTCAATTGTTGGCTAATGGTCACTCCCTTGGCTAATGGTTATTTAGAGCCTTGCCACTGTAGGATCTGCTTGGGGATTAAACGATTGCCACCATTGCCGTTGATGTTCTTCATCATTGTAGTTAAACGTATAGTCTTTTCTTTGGCAAGAGAACTAACATGTAGAAATAGCTGGACTTTTCTTGGAACAAGACTAACTTCAAATGAACTGTCTGTTGGAAAGGTATGAAAGCATTATAACAGATTGCCACCATTGTCATTGATGTTCTTCATTGCTGTTGCACTGGCAAGCCATCAGCCAATCAGATACTCCCCCTCCTTTTGCTGGATGAAATGCTACCAGCCAATCACATTGCTTCTTGACTGTAGTCAGGGTGGTGATTGGCTGATGACGGTCGGTAGTGCTGATGTCACAAGTACAGTACCTGTGGAACAGCTGGAAATACTGTACCTGTGGAAGAGCTGCAGGACTCTCTTCCCGTCCGCCTGTCTCTCGGCGAGGTACTCCATGATGTCGTACTTGAGTCGGGTGACGATGAGGGGAGGGATGCGCACCACGTCCTTGTTGGGAGGAGACCAGTACTGGTACACGTCGTCCAACACTTCGTCATCAAGAGACAGGACATCCTCCAGCTCATGTTCCGCTATTCCATTTCTTAAAGTAACAAAAAGGACATTTAAGGATTATTGAGGAAATAGACTGGGGCTTTTCTAAAGCAAAAGTGCAAGGTACATGTACCAACTGTCATGGCACAGAAGCCAAAAATGTACATTTTCAGCCAAAAATGGCAAAATATGCCAAAAGATTGAAATGCCCGCATATCCAGATTTGCTTAAAATACATTTAGGTATACATGTCTGCCAAATTTGGTGCTTTTAGACAAAAGTGCACATTCAATTTTTCAGCTATGCCTCTCACAGGCCTATTAAGAAAACATGGCAACAGAGAAGGACTTCACAATGACAGAACACTAGCACCATTTCTTACCTGGCAGCAGCGATGTACCCCAGTGTGTGGGACACAAAGATGGTTCCATGCTGCACCTCTAGCCTCTCATACAGCAGATTGATGGCCGCCCTCGCCGACTGGGCGATCCGCAGTTCCGATTCTGGGGTGTAAGACTTCCACCTCCGAGCCTCATCAAACGCCAGCTTGAGGAACAGCGGCTGCCGACAGTGTGAGAAGGCAGACAGGATGACTTCCCTTTGTTTGTCTGTGAGGCACCGCTGGATCCGAGCGAGCCACGTGTCCAGAATCTCGCTCCCCACCTGTTCCGACAATGTGGGCACCTGGATGTAGCTCCTGTCGCTGCGGACGGTGCGCTTCAGAGTCTTCAGCAGATCGAACTCTTCGGGCAGGGTGGAGACCACGATGTGGACGTTTGGTGGGAGGGATTTGGGCAGCCAGGTCAGGCTGTAGGCTCGGTCCACGGACGACAATTGGTCCAGGGAGTCCAGAAGGATGAGAAGCGGCCGACCCTTCTCCGACACCTTGTCCAGAAGCGTGGACAAGTACTGGACGATTTCAGCAAAGTTGTTGAGAACTCTTTCCGCGGGTGCCTCAATGCCGTAGACCTCACATATCTGTAGACAGAGGCTCTGTAGAACCGGGTGGATCAGTGTGCTGTGTGGGGACGTGCCCAGGAAACGGATGATCGTCACCAGGTTTTCTCCGAACCTCTGGGCGGCATTCTGCGCCAGCATGGCCATGATGGACGACTTGCCGCTACCGGAGGCTCCGTGGATCACGAACGGCTGATGGTTGGCCTTGTCCGTGTCCTTCATGTACGTGTACACAGCGTCAAAGATCTCCTGTCTTCCGCAGAAACTCTCACACTTCGCCTGGCAGAAACGTGCGTGCGAGATCACTTCTGTCAAAAACCAGTCATCGTTCTGTTCTTGTTCACTCTCGCTCTGCAAGCTCTTGAAAATCATCGCTTTCAGATCGGCCACGAAGTCGTCACTGAACCGTTCCAGATACGAGGCGTGACTTTCCACGTCTTCATTAACCCCCTTGTCGGTCCACTCTAGCTCGTACTGGTGAACGTTCTTCAGTTTGGCCGGCAGTTTCCCCTTCAGGTCCTCCAGCAGGCTCTGGGACTCTTCGTTGAGCTTCTCCCTGTCCATCAGGTCCAGGTAGGCGCTGACCGCGTCTGCTCCCACGTGCTTCTCGATGTTCTGAAGGTTCCGCATGAAGATCACGGCTCGCTGGTTTGCGTCGGTCGACTCCATGATGCCTCTGCTGATCTCCGTCTCAGTCACTAACAAGAAAGAACCTTTTTTTAAACTTCTTGGATTGACAATGGATTTGAAGCCAACTCCATCATATTAGGAATGTACACATAGCCAGAGTGCCATTTTGCTCCCTATTGAGCTGCCCTATTTGAGTGTAGGCAGCCTGGTAAACAAACTTTGGGATGGCACCCAGGCTAATGCAACCACTGGCAAGTAATTCTAGAATATTTTCAACTTGAACCAGGTCTGTCCCTAACCATAGCCCTAGCCCTAGCCCTAGCCCTAGCCCTAGCCCTAGCCCTAGCCCTTAAACCCTACCCCTAACCCTAGCCATAACCATACCCTAACCCTAACCCTAACCCTAACCCTAGACCTAACACTAGGCCTAACCCTAACAATAAACCCTAACCCTGGTTCCCCTAACCCTAGCCCTAACCCTAACCCCAGCCCCAACCCCAACCCTAACCCTAACCCTAACCCTATTAAACCCTAACCCTAACCCTAACCCTAACCCTAACTCTAACCCTAATCCTAACCCTAACCCTAACCTAACCCTAGCCCTAGCCCTAGCCCTAGCCCTAGCCCTAGCCCTAGCCCTAGCCCTAGCCCTAGCCCTAGCCCTAACATTAACCCTAATCCTAACACTAATTTAAAGTGTTAGGCTAAAAAAAGGAGCAAAAGCACACAAGTGTACAAGAAATTACCTGATTTGATGTATTTGTGTTGCTGTTCCTCAGTCACCAGTCCTTCCTTGTAAGCTGCCTTCACAGCTGTGCGGAGAATATTCTCCAGCTGAACCGTCACCTGATACCACCCCTCCTTGTCTTTCAGTCGCAGGCTCTCATTGGCTGGTTCCATGTCCGTGTAATATTTAAACTTGCTGGTGATTGGCTGTAGTAAACAGACCGCGGGGACGGCGTTGTCGTCCTTGAGGTACCATTCATTGATGACGGCGGTGTCCATGTCTAGTTCGCCGGCCTTCTTTAGGAGAATGTCCAGTTCTTCTGCCTCTATCTTTGCAGGAATGGGACGGTAGCCGTACCGGTTACCTAGGAATGCCTGGAGAGGGAGAAACATGATCAAATTACATTGTATGGCTGCTTTTCAATCAGAATTTTCCATATATACATGTATATAAATGTAAAGGAAGATAATAAAAGAAACCTATTACTATGTACACTTCACTCAGGTGTTAATGAGTACGTAGCTTAGGTTAGGGGCGTCCCTCAGATAGGACGTTAAATGGAGGTCCCGTGTTTAGGGACAGCCACACCCTATGCAAATCAAAGAACCCACCACACCTTTAAAAAAAGGGGCATGCCCCGGTGTGCGATGGTACAAACACTACTGTATGGAGTTGGTGACTTCGAATCACCCAGATAGAGGCCTGGCGAACTCCTGTCTCGTATTAGTATCACCGTCCGTCCGGTCTCGTATCACCCGGACGGAGGCGTGGCAAACCCCGTCTTGTATTAAGCTAACGAAAGGGTATGTCACCTCTTAAGGGGTGATATAACCCCCACCAATGATGATGACCTACATGTAATCTTGAATCAGATTTCTCCTATTACTTAACATTTTACCCAGACTAGACACATCTGAACCCTCACCACAAAGTTGGGTCCGACCGACAGTCTCTTGCAGGTGTCAATCTCCATCAGGCACAGCGCGCAGGTCATGTGATCGGCCACAACCTGCATGATGAACAAAATGACTAATAAACTGGTGGACGTCCCAACTACTAAGTACCTAATACCAGCCCAGAAGAGAACAAGAAATAATCACGCCTTCAAGTACCAGAGTTATCAACCAAGGATTGAGGTGTTCAAAAACTCATTCTTCCTAATCTATCACAAAGTGGAACTCGCTGTCACCAAGTACAGTAGGGGCATTGTCATTAGATAAACTAAACAATGTTTAGAGTTTGATGTTGAAAGGTTGTAACAAGTTGTTCGGTGTGATATAGCCAGCTGCCGCCGAGCCGCATGCCTGCGAAGCTGGTGTGTTACACCAAAGGGCGGTTATACCGGCTATACAGATACAGAAGCTGGTGTGTTATGCCAAAGGGCGGTTACACCGGCTATACAGAATTACAGACCTCGTCCCTTACGCCCCAGCGCATGTCCATGACCTGGAAGTCCAGCCCCTGCTTCTGACAGAACTCCCGCAGCTCAGGGTACGCCTTCTGCAGCAGGATGTTACGCTCCTTAGCCATGTCTGGGGGAAAGGGAGCGAACATGTAGCTTTAGATGTATAGACAAGCTTCTTTTTCATTAGTAATCTTGTGGACACCATACATTTTCATAGCCTCCAGGATATCAATTTTATTTTGGCAGTCGAGTCTCTTTAAAATTTTTCCTCTCTGCAAATTGGTTGAGAGGATGAAAGAGACTCGACAGCCAAAATAGGTTTGGTGACCAGGCTAGCATTTAAGAAGCCATGGTAATAAAACAAAAAGGTAACCTTGTTTTACATAAAATTGACTTGGAAGCTTTTAATACCTTTTTAAGAACGGTATGTTCTATAAACATTCTCCTCAGATCAGAAATTATGATTCTTGATTTCAGTACCCTAACGTCGGATCCAAGGCCTGCATAGTTAGAGCTTGCCTGTGGGGTAGGGCTGCGTACCTAAACGTAACATCAGGTACAGGTACAGGTACTGGTACAGAGGTTTAGGTACAGGTCCGGACCTGTACCTGTACCTGAACAATTTGACAAATTAACACGTGTTCTTCACTTTTTCAATCATGACACAGAAACAATAATAAAGTGTTGGAGGGAAGGGAAAATGACTGACCTCTGACCTGATTTGAGTTTGTTGACCAATCACAACCCTGGATCAGCCACACTCTCGCGATGTCTCGTGAGACTGAGGATCTCAAATCAATCGACGGTGTTTACGTCTTTTCCAGTGCTAATTTTTCGTCTTTGTGGTAGGATTTACCTATCTTTAGTCATATACATGGTGTAAACTAGCTATTTCGGTATATACTCGTTACTTCATGATCCGGTATTTTGGACCTGTACCGAAACGATTTTTACGGTATTGGACCGGTACAGTGTACCGGTCCGCAGCCCTACTGTGGGGTGTGGAACCTGAAAGCAAGGGTCCATAATAACAGGTAAAAGATACAAAACGATTCTCGGCTCACCTGAGAAAGTGGAGCTCATAAAGATGCGAACGATGTTGGACTTGTCTGGCGGTAACGCCGTCATGTGCCCCTCCATGAGCGCTGCTCTCATCTCTGATGTCACCTCCATCTTGTTAAGGTTACTTGTAGTATTCTACAACCCCTGATTCAAAATTCTGGGGGACAGAAAATTGCAAAACAAAAATGATGAGTTTAAGCAAGGAAAGGTAAAAGATCTAGACAGTCACCTCCATCTTGTTAAGGGTGGTCCTCTACAATCCCTGATTCAAAATTCTGCAGGACAGTAAATTGCAAAACAAGATTTAAACTAGGATTAGGCCACACCAATTTAATTTCTTGGTTAACGGATTCGCCGCTTCATTTTTTTCTGATTTGCAAATAAAAATAAAAATCCAGAATCAACTGCAAAATGCTCATATTTTTCCCTGAACAGTTGAAAACAGTCCTTTTCTTCGTAGTTGTTACAGTTATTCCATCCTTCAATGCAATGGTATCATTAAAAGTTCAAAATTCATTGTTTAAATTTTGAACCAGCCTGGTGTGTTGGCTACATGGCTCCTATCGTACCATTTTGGGCCATAATACGATGCCTAGGCCTGTTTTTATTTATTTATTTTTTTCGCCCGCCCGCTCCATTATTTTTCTAGAAAAATCCGTTAACCAAGAAATTAAATTGGTGTGGCCTTAGGAAGGGTAACAGATCTAGACCTTTGTACTCAATACTACGTAGATATCATGCAAATGACATTGTCTTTCTCTACAATCCTTCAATCAAAATTCTGGGGGACAGAAAATTGCAAAACAAGATGAGTTTAAACTAGGAAATAAGGTAACAGATCTAGACCTTTGTGCTCAATACAAAATAGATATCATGCAAATGACCTTGCAGCTGTTGTCTTTTGTTTGAAGATGATGTCACAGCAACTATTCAATCAGCCCCAATTACGTCATCTATTATTTACAATCTAAGCCATTGTTGACCTTTGAATATAACGTCCAAATATAATATGTTGTGAAAACATGGAAGACCACCAAAGAATTCCAAAAAGAAAATGCACAATAGTTTATAACCATTTGAAGTATTTAGGGGCCATTGTTTGTAAGCATTTATAAAAAACAAGGCAATATGTATCCTGTACTTGACAACTACCAGACAAAAAGGACTGTAACTACTGTAACAGTTGTAAATGGACTCTACATAATCTGTTACTTTGACCTGCATATTATATATCAGAGAGTAGTTTTTTGAGCTGATGTAGTAAGATTACAGTAGTATCAGTAGTCCGGTTTGTACTACAAACATATATACCTTACATCTGTTCACCTGTACTTAGCCCGATAGGGCAATATTATGTACAATAAAGGTAATCTATTATTGTGTTACTCAAAAATCAAACAGAGGTCAAAACAATGAGGCTCCCAATGCCTAAGTACTACTGGTCTGTGTAATGTTGTCATAGGCCTTGGGCTAATATTTGTGTAGCCACAATACACGGTGTCACAAAGAAACACTTTTTATTCAGTCATTGTTTTTGTTTTTAGAATTATTTGGAAAAACTGGGAAATTCAGGAGATTTTTACATGGTTTCGTTTGACCTGATATGCTCACTTTCAGTTTCAACACATATACAGTTACAAGCTGGACAGGAACACATTGTATTGGGTGACTCAGCAAGGTGTTGAATACCTGTTTACAAACATGGTATCTTTAACACTGAAAAGCATGAAACTTAACAGAAGTATAGTAGTAGGTGTACCATTATAGCAGCACTAAAATCTCTTGACTGCAACTGTTGGATCATTCCAGAACTTTTGTTACCTGTAACTACAGTCTGCACAGTGTGTGCAGACATACCAGTAGTTCTTCTGTTCGAGCACCTACCTAGAATTCAATTAGGTCGACAAGTTTTCATAACAATTTGGCAACAGAAAACAAGGAATGGACACCTATCGAAACCGTTCACAATTCTTAAGGTATATCAATTGCAACTGTTCCTGTTTGCATCACAAGCAACATGTATACAGTTGTGTCACTGTCACACTTTCAGGTAAAGAAAAACACCTTGTGTAACATAATACTTTGATCCAGAACACTCTACGATATTGTACCCACAGCGAATTCTTAAGAAGTCACTCTCACCTGTTCAATGCCCCATCCTGATACACTTTCTACTGTAGGTGGTGGATCCAGCAACCACCCAAGAATCCACCGTCGCTAACTGAAAAGACCAACAGACAACGTTGCTTGCCTGAGCACTGTTACTGTTAGCCACACCTCCGTGTATTTGCATATGTCCCCCAAGAAAAATGGGTCCTGTCTCACACTGTCAACAGGAATCTACCTTGAATAGGCGGGGCGGGGTGGTCGCCTAGCAACTAAGAATCAACAAAGCAAAGTCTATTCAAGACCTAATCAAATGCGCATCACAGGGTCGTTCACTTTGTGACTCACTACGTTCAATGGCTCAATTGAGTTAGTAGACCAAGTGTGAAGAAGCCACCGTACATTTTATGGTCTTTTATACCTTTGAAAGGTGTTCTTACCTGGTTATCATTTAGATGCATTGGGCATTGCCATAAAGCTGCATAGTCAGCATATATCTATATACAGTATTTATCACTGCATCTCGAACTGTGAGACTACATTGTTAACACTGAAATCAACGCCTATCCCTACAATTATCCAGAAATACGCTCAAATCTATTTTTTTAGCCCAACATTTTAAAGCTCTCCCGCCATGAAACACCTGGCTGCTGACCCGGAAGTAAAGTTGGCAAATTACCGGAAGTGCTCGTTCAGCTCAAGGTCACGGCGCCTGCGTAGTTCGTTCCGTCAGAATTTCGCCATTTTCCGAAGAGCAACCAAACGGGGAGTGAGGAACTGCCTTCCTGTGTGTAGAAGAGGTTTAGCGGTTCTGTCAGCCGATTTGCCGGCCTTAAGCGAGGCGATGGAGGCTCTGATTCCCGTGATAAACAAGCTGCAGGATGTGTTCAACACCGTCGGCACGGATTCCATCCAGCTGCCGCAGATTGTGGTGATCGGAACGCAGGTAAAAACCGTTGAGTTGACCTGCCCGGGACGAACCGACCGGTGAAAGCTAGCTGAAGTCCCCTCCCTCTTTTCGATTCCCTTCTGTCGTTCAAAACTATATAAGTATGTGGTGTGACCTTCGTAAAAATGCATAATAAAATGTCCACGTAAGACAAGAAACAGAACATCATATAACATTTGACGTCTCTTATTTTTTCGCAAGGAAAGGGAAAGTATGATATGCCGAAAGTCAAATTATTTTGGGTCGTTAAATTTTAGAATAACAGATTATTTTTGCGTCCTTAATTATTCAGATTTTAACGCACTGGTCATTAAAGTTGGGCTTTCATGTACTTTACCAACGAAAAAATGGACACAAAAATTTGTTTAGGCACAACGGTAAAGATCTCTATAAATATGCAAATTTGATATTATTAGCACCTACTCGTAAATTAACGTTACGCATTTTTATACCAATACAGTAATATTGCCATTGAGGATGAGCTGGCTTCAAATCACTTGCTTTGAACCTTTTGTGGTACTGCCATATAAGTTTTCATTCAAGTAGTCTTGTTAGACCACATGTAAAAGTGTGGTTGCATCAGTGTTTTTGTGATGTAGACACTATAAATAGGTGATTATCAGGTAGTCAACAAGGTGAGTAAAAAAAACAAACAAAATGACGTCTCCAAGATCTTGAGTTGATAAATCTTTTTTGCATTTTGCATCTCATTTTCTGCAACTTGATGGTTTGTTGGCATGTCAGTAAAGCTCGTGTGTGTCTTGGTAGACCTAACCGCAAATGGTGGTTATCCTGGCTATACAGATACAGTGAGAAATCTATCCCAACATCTGCTTGGAGATAAGGATCTAGTCTGATCTTTGACTTTCATCATTTTTATTTTACGGTAGTTCATATGAACGTAGGGTAGACATTAGAACACATATAGTGTAAAAGTAGTAGCGTGAGTAATGAGAATGTCATGTAAGGTCAGACAATATCTGCTATCCAAAAACTGGGGAAAGGTCAAAGATAATGAGTTATGACGTAGCAAGGAAAGTTTAATAGTAAAGGGCTCAGGTTTTTGAATGTTACTTGCATAGAAGTACACAGTTGACATGTTACACTTGGAGTTAAAGATGCCCTTTTTGTGACATTCTTTCAGTTGTAATTCAATGACACTGTACAATACGTGACCTTTGGCAGACTAGTGTGTTTGGCTTCTGTACTTGTAAAACCTGTATCAGATAATCTGTCTCTTCCACTGTACTTAATAAGGTACTTCTACCACACAGCTGTTCCTGTGACAATGTCTCTTACTAGTTACCTCCATGAAATGTGTCATGGAGGTTATATTTACCTCCATGAAATGTGTCATGGAGGTTATATTTTCAGTTGCGTTTATCTGTCCGTCCGTCCGTCCGTCCGTCCTTCCGTCTGTCTGTTGGTCAACAAGATAACTCAAGAACGCCTGGATGGATTGGTTTCATACTTGGTGTGTTGGTAGGGTGTGACAAAAACTGGAAATGATGAGATTTTGGTCCCCCTAGTGGCTTCCCTTGGTACTGCAGCGCAACTTCCAGTTTTGATATCTCGCGATCTGGACATGCTAGGGTCATGAAATTTTGATGGAAGGTAGCTCTCGTGCTTGGAAAGAAGTCATATGAGTTTGGGCCCCCTAGCGGCTTGTTCTGGATCTGCAGGGCACTTTCTGGCGAAATGTTTAAAAGCCAATAAGTCCAGACAGGAACAACATATTTTCATTATTTTTGGTGTGTAGGTAGCTGAGAGAGAGATGTACATAATTAAATGTAAATTATGCAAATGAGGACTTTATTTGCATAATTAATGAGGAAATTCTATAATTACAGTGTTTTACATTATACTATGTAGCCTATGGCAGGCGGAACTTCAACAGATACTAATTATGCAAATGATGACCTAATTTGCATAATTAATGTGAAAATTCTATGATTTCGTAATGGTGAATGATGAGAATGCCATACTTGGGACATCTGTAAGTTAATCAAAAGTTAACATACATCACGATGCATATATCATGTTAATGCAGAGGTCATTTGAACAATTAAAGAAGAAATTTACATTTACATATCAAGATCATATTTCATGGAGGTATGAGGTCTCGGAATTCTAGTTTCAGTTGCGTTTATCTGTCCGTCCGTCCGTCTGTCTGTTGGTCAACAAGATAACTCAAGAACGCCTGGATGGATTGGTTTCATACTTGGTGTGTTGGTAGGGTGTGACGAAAACTGGAAATGATGAGATTTTTGTCCCCCTAGTGGCTTCCCTTGGTACTGCAGCGCAACTTCCGGTTTTGATATCTCGCGATCTGGACATGCTAGGGTCATGAAATTTTGATGGAAGGTAGCTCTCGTGCTTGGGAAGAAGTCATATGAGTTTGGGCCCCCTAGCGGCTTGTTCTGGAACTGCAGGGCACTTTCTGGCGAAATGTTTAAAAGCCAACCAGACAGGAGACAACATTATTTTCTATTATTTTTGGTGTGTAGGTAGCTAGAGAGAGAGATGTACATAATTAAATGCAAATTTATGCAAATGAGGACTTTATTTGCATAATTAATTAGGAAATTCTATAATTACAGTGTTTTACATTATCTCGCGATCTGGACATAGCTAGGGTCATGAAATTTTGATGGAAAGTAGCTCTCGTGCTTGGAAAGAAGTCATATGAGTTTGGGCCCCCTAGCGGCTTGTTCTGGAGCTGCAGGGCACGTTCTGGCGAAATGTTTAAAAGCCAATAAGTCCAGACAGGAACAACATATTTTCATTATTTTTGGTGTGTAGGTAGCTGAGAGAGAGATGTACATAATTAAATGCAAATTATGCAAATGAGGACTTTATTTGCATAATTAATTAGGAAATTCTATAATTACAGTGTTTTACATTATCTCGCGATCTGGACATGCTAGGGTCATGAAATTTTGATGGAAAGTAGCTCTCGTGCTTGGAAAGAAGTCATATAAGTTTGGGCCCCCTAGCGGCTTGTTCTGGAACTGCAGGGCACTTTCTGGACGAAATGTTTAAAAGCCAATAAGTCCAGACAGGAACAACATATTTTCATTATTTTTGGTGTGTAGGTAGCTGAGAGAGAGATGTACATAATTAAATGTAAATTATGCAAATGTGGACTTTATTTGCATAATTAATGAGGAAATTCTACAATTACAGTGTTTTACATTATACTATGTAACCTATGGCAGGCGGAACTTCAACAGATACTAATTATGCAAATGATGACCTAATTTGCATAATTAATGTGAAAATTCTATGATTTCGTAATGGTGAATGATGAGAATGTCATACTTGGGACATCTGTAAGTTAATCAAAAGTTAACATACATCACGATGCATATATCATGTTAATGCAGGTCATTTGAACAATTAAAGAAGAAATTTACATTTACATATCAAGATCATATTTCATGGAGGTATGAGGTCTCGGAATTCTAGTTAGACTGTAATTCTGTTGAAGTGTTTGACCTAAGTCATCTGACCTATGTACTGATGACCCTTTGATTTGAATGGTAATATTGCATGCTTCATGATCCCCTACTAGTATTTGTTTCTGGTAGTGGTACATTGTAGTTTCTTTGTCAGTTAAATTATCATGGTGCAAGTTTCTATTTCTATGTAATACTGGTCAAAACCCCTCAATGGGGCATCACGACCAGGGTGCTGGGTGCACGGCTAAGTGCGGCCGGTGGGGTGATGGTGCTGAAAAGAACATCATGAAAACAACAAAGTGCAAAAAAGTACAAAAAAAGAAAAAAAAGAACGAAATGTTCTTGATGTTATTTTCCAAAATGCAGGAATTGAACATCAATGAAAAAAGTGCTAGTGATGACCTTCTAGTTAAATGTACATTCTGAGATTTTTTGCAATGTCAGCAATGAATGGTATAAAAACAAACTGTCTAAATGTACTGTTGTAGATTTCTAATATTGTATTCTACCTTCACTAAATGGGGCAATGTGTTATTTTATCATCTTACCCTTGTTTTATTTACCTTTAGTACTACATAAATACATGGCATTAGTTGTAGAACATCATTTATTTAGGCCAGTAATCCAGGAATCTAATGGCTCTGACCCTGATATTGATTTTTCAACATGCCTCAGCATGGTATACCAGGTCACATTGCTATCACATTGTAGTATATGTACAATATCTGTAATCATAGGAATCCTAGTGTACATTTTTGTATGTATGGGAGTATGTAAGTTTGCCAACAGAAAATCGCCAGTCTTGCTTTCTTCTGTATCCTCCCACAAAATAGATTCTTCTATCACTCTTGTACTAGTATTTGATTCAGTACACAGCAGATATTGGGTGGGTGTGTCTTGACCCAGATTCATACAAAGCTGTAGGTTTCCCTTGCAGTTGGGCCTCTTTACCTCTCCATGTCATCCATGAAAAACAGCATTACTCTAGTCTTGCCTGTGAGTGTGATATAGATTTATGGATGCATGTGATATCCAAAAAAGTGTATGTACATTTGTAGCCAGTCAGCTTTTAAGATGTATGAGGTTTTGAAATGTGCCCAATCCCAGCACACATTCACTGACTGTTCAGGTAATTGCTTGTAAAATCAGGGGCGTGAAAGTCATGCTTTCCAGACAGTAACAGACATAACATGTTAATGTATATTTTCAGACAACAATATTTGTATAATTTAAAAAAAATTATGTATATCATTTTATTATGCAATGATTGAGAAAAGAATGTAGAGCACTCGACAAAATTTACCTGAATTTACCAAAAGAAACAATTCCAGTACTAGTAATGTAGTGCCTTGAAAATAGTACATCTCTTATACCTTATGTCTTCAGTTACATTTTGTACTTGTGCGTTTTCATATCTAAATGTTAAGACATTTATCTAGTATCATTTTACAAGAATTATATCCATACCATACATAATTTTCTTGCTCAAAGAATATACAGTACCTATGAATAGAGTTGCTACCTATATACTAGTGATAATCACATTGTACATCCACAAGGTAAAGATTCCCCCCACTAACAAGCATTGATCTGTGGTAATCAGATTTGGGACACACTTGGAAAGGCTAATGGCAGTGGAGAATTGTGTGTTTGTACAATAGTCTTGACTTGAACTTACACATTGTACATGTACATAACGTGTTGTTTTGCTGTTGTGTTATACAGAGTAGTGGGAAGAGTTCAGTGTTGGAAAGCCTGGTGGGGAGAGACTTCCTACCCAGAGGTTAGTAACTCAAATGTGACATACTGTCTTTTGTGAGGTATATTATTAGTAGCATAGTGATGAACGTTGGTATGTTTGTTGTTACTAGTTACTGTTATGTAGCAGTAAATACCATATGTTGTATTTCATACAGATGTTGTGCAGTTAAGTTTAGATTTGACCTGGAGTACAAATGTATTTACGTTAATAATCCTTTGTAATAATATTATGGGAGAGGGGAAAATACAATGTATTTTGTTGAATAAAACTGTGGGTTCAAATACTATTAAATATTGTGAAATTGCTTTTTTTACGCATGCATATTTATCCCCTCCTTAATTACAAACTTCACATGCAAAATGTTGGAATGATGTATGTGAAGATTGCAATCAAATGAAGAATAAGAAATGACAGAAAACATGATGCTGTTATCACTGACTCCAGGTACTGGGATAGTGACCAGACGTCCCCTCGTGCTACAGCTGGTTCACGTCAACTCTGAGGAAAAGAAGAGACCTTCAGAAGATGAAGGTAAGAAGGAAGACGTAGTCAATGTAGAATTCTTAAAAAAACATCTCTATACTGTTACTGGCCACAGCTTTCTCTGTTCAACTTAACCAGTAGTTCTTGAATAGCTAAAATACTGTTTAACTTAAAGACAGTGTTCATCGCTCTTATTTTACAGTTTTAGATAGCTTCCTACTGTGCACTTCTTTATAATTGACATATTTACGGGTTACATTTAAACGTGTTCTGTACCTATCTTTCTGTACAGGATTGGATGAATATCAAATGTATGTTTTTGATGGCTTCTTCCTCTTCCTTCTAAGTTCTAGTAACCTTTCCCTTGTTTGCAATGAAATGTGTCTGGGATTTGGTCCTTACATTTACAATGTAGCAACACCTGAAACGATAACAAGATTGAACAATACAGTGATTGAAGTAAGGTATAGATAAAGCTAGGTATATGTAGGGAGAGGCAAATTTGCATGAAAACTGCAATCTTTGTACTTCTTAGACTTTGAAACGATTTTTAAAAAACTCAGAATCCGTAAATTTGATTGAACAGTTGTACTGTAAAATTGAGGACCAAGTTCCATGCACATATGATATGACAGAACCAGCCAGTGTTACCCCCCGTAACCATTAATGTTTCCCTCTCTTACATTGCACCTATCCAGATGGAGGGCATAAACAGGAAATAAAAGGTGTTTCTTTGTAGTTCACTTCTCTCTGTGTACTGTACTTGTCTCTCCATCCAATGTCTGCATCCCTACCCATTTCTTTCTTTCTACTGCTTATTGTGTGTGAAGATATGAAAAATGGATTGAAGCTGTTGAAAAAAAACTACCCCGTAATCAGTTTACTACCATATTGTAGAATTTGGTTTGCCAATCAGAATGAAGATGTGGTGTGTGCTCAACTGTTTCAACTTTTTTTAACCAGTTCTTTCATATGTACTAAAACTAAGTTTGATTTTTATTTTCACACTGCTGTTGTGAGATTTCCTGAGTGGATTTGTTCTGTGATAATTGATAAATGATAATTGAGAAAATGGTGCTGACAAAAATGATGAAGAAAATGATGACAATGATAAAGATATTTGATTGACTGGTTCATAATACAGACATGTATTCTCCTTTGTGCTGTATGATATAGAACATGCAGATGTGGAGGAATGGGGGAAGTTTCTACATACAAAAAATAAGGTGAGCAATCACACATAAACAAAATCTGGTTTAACGTCAAAATACAGTTTTAAACTCCCAAGTAAATATGCCAATTTTAAACTGTCATATTGTCATTATAGGTATAGTGCATATGTATTGTTCCTTCATAGACAGAATTTTTACAGTATGGAAAAATAAAACAATGTTTAAACCCTTACATGTACCTATGCAGTATGCTATGGTCATATTTAAATGTGTATGAACTTAATAAATGACACAACTTCTCTTGTTTCAGATCTACACAGACTTTGATGAGATTAGACAGGAGATTGAGAATGAGACTGACAGAATCACTGGAACTAACAAGGTAGGAAATATTCCCTGTCTAGTACTGGTTACAACATCAACCTTATACTAGTTATACAATAGCTAGTCTTGAGTAAAGAGACTCTTTTTACACAACCAAGTCTTTTCAAAGTTTATTCAGTTGACATTTCAGTGACCGTCTGTCACCTTCCTCAGGGCAATTCTGACTGGTTCACATTGTACTGCAGCACAGGTGTCGCTGCTGTAGATGCATTCCCAAATGTACAACATTTACATATCTACACACATGCGTGGCCACAGGGAACTGTATCTACAATCTACAAATATTACTCAGTGTCTTACCAACCTGATGAAACAATGTGTACGGAATAGGCTTGTTTCTTTTCTATATTCTAAGCTATACATGATTGACACATTGTTTTCTCTTTTCCCCAGGGTATCACTGATGATGCCATCCACCTGAAGATCTACTCACCCAAAGTTCTCAACCTCACCTTAGTTGACCTGCCTGGTATCACAAAGGTAAGGCAAAAAAACATTATCCTGATGTATAATCTGTATCTGTATAGCCGGTATAACCGCCCTTCGGCGTAACACACCAGCTTCTGTATCTGTATAGCCGGTATAACCGCCCTTCGGCGTAACACACCAGCTTCTGTATCTGTGTAGCCGGTATAACTGCCTTTGGGCGTAACACACCAGCTTCTGTATCTGTATAGCCAGTATAACCGCCTTTCGGCATAACACACCAGCTTCGCAGGCACGCGGCACAGCGGCAGCTGGCTACATCACACCGAATGACCTGTTACACCAGTCCTAACCCTTGAAGATCTAACTCTAAACATTGTTTAAAGCTATCTAATGCTCAGGGAATGTTGGAGACTTCCCCTTTATAAAATGCAGTAGATCACTCCTAATTCTTCTAAGCAAGAGTCATGATCATGCTTCAGATATACATATACCAAAATTTCAATCCATTTGACAGTTGTTACCAGATGACTTTTAACTCTGGTAGTATTCAAACTTTGCCTCATAGGTAGTAGTTCAAGTCAACTGTTATATTTCCCAGGTGCCAGTGGGAGACCAGCCCCCTGACATAGAGGTCCAGATCCGTGAGATGTGTCTGCGTTACATCGCCAACCCCAACTCCATCATCCTGGCTGTCACCTCCGCTAACACAGACATGGCCACGTCTGAGGCACTCAAGTTCGCAAAGGAGGTCGATCCAGATGGTCAGTCAGGGTTATTATTTTATCTTCTTTTCTCAGGAAACATACAGTTTTTGCTCAGTTTCTTCTTCTTCTCCAAAGGAGTAAAGTCAGTGACCTGGACCAGACGTCTGTCGCCATAGTAACTGGTACTGTAGCAGACATCCTGTGGTGTTAGATTACAATTATGTAGCAAGTAGTAGGACAAAGTTAGAGGGTCTGGTTACCATATGTATAATGTATGGTATACATGTTTTTTTTTAATGTTCAAGAAAGAGAAACCACCCATTAGTAAATGGAACATTACACTGATACAGGCAGGTGTACAAAATTGCTTCTTAAAACTTACAAACATTTTATCCCCTTTTTTTCCCCCAGGCCGTCGCACGTTAGCGGTCATCACCAAGCTAGACCTGATGGACGCGGGCACGGACGCCCACGACGTGCTGATGGGTCGGGTCATCCCGGTCAAGCTGGGCATCATCGGGGTGGTCAACCGCAGCCAGATGGACATCAACAAGAGAAAACCCATCGAGGAGGCCATCAAGGACGAGGCGGCCTTCCTACAGAGGAAGTACCCATCGCTAGCCAGCAGGAACGGGACATCACACCTCGCCAGGACGCTTAACAGAGTAAGTCTGTTTGAAACGTACCCTGGTTATTGAGGGAATTCGGAAATAATATTTCAGTCTTCAACTGTCGTTGGTTGAATATCCATCGCTAGCCAGCAGGAAAGGCACCTCACATCTGGCCAGGACGCTCAACAGAGTAAGTCTGTTTGTTTGTTGGTTGGTTGGTTGGTTAAATACCCATCACTAGCCAGCAGGAACGGGACATCACATCTCGCCAGGACCCTCAACAGAGTAAGTCTGTTTATTTGTTTGTTTGTTTGTTTGTTCGTTGGTTAAATATCCATCACTAGCCAGCAGGAATGGCACCTCACATCTCGCCAGGACGCTTAACAGAGTAAGTTACCATTAGTGAGGGAAAAATACCTTAATACAAATAACTTATCTTTAGTCTTCAACTGTCGTTGGTTAAATATCCGTCGCTAGCCAGCAGGAACGGAACATCACATCTCGCCAGGACGCTTAACAGAGTAAGTCTGTAACAGTCAGGTTTGAAACGTACCCAGGCTAGTGAGGGACTTAGCAAATAATACCTCAACACATGCACAAGTACAAATAACACTTTCCTTTGCTCTCCAGTGTTGTTGGTTAAATGGCCAGCCTACTGTCAAGTTCAATGAAGTATCAGAATAAATTTAGATCCCCAGAAGTCATCTTGTGGTAGGAGGGAAAGCTATTATAATAGCAGTTGCCCTATCTTACAATGGCCTAGAAATTCTGACTTGTTACAAAATCTAGGACTGAGATCTCTCCAAAAACTTTTTTAAATTTCTTTTTTAGGATAGGCCAACAGACCCAAAATCCTGGAAATCCATTCATACATGTAAGTTGTTCATTCATCCTATTAATTGTATTTTAACAAAGTTGTTGTTTTCCTGTTGCCATAGTTACTGATGCACCACATCCGAGACTGTCTGCCGGACCTGAAGACCAGGATCAACGTCATGGCCTCACAGTTCCAGCAGCTTCTTAACTCATTCGGGGAACCTGTGGACGACAAGGTCAGCGGCAACTCTCTTACACCTACATTTTTATGGCTTCACCACACCACATGGTGAAACATATTGTTTTCCCTCATGTTTCTTCTCTTCACGTTTTGGACGGGTGATTTAGGAACAATCCATTTGTGCAGGAGGAGGATAGGTCCAATTTTGGTACAGGGGATTTGGTGAAGCCATTTGCTGCATTTTGCTCCCAAACAAATGTCGGCCTTTCTAGTGTAACATGTCTTCTCTAGAAGTTGTTGGATTTTTGCCAACTTCACGAAAGTCCAATAGTTCCAGAAAGTTGAAGTCTCTCCCTTATTAAAGTAAAATTTTGCCCTTTGTGGAAAAACACTTTGTGGCTCACTTAGTTGGGAATCTCTGTTTTGTTCTTCAGCCAGTAAAAATGTTAACTTTGTGTTTTGTGTCTACAGGGAACAACACTGCTACAGATCATCACCAAGTTTGCTGCCCAATATTGTAACACCATCGAGGGAACAGCCAGAAACATAGAGACAACAGAACTGTAAGTTATACACATAAAAACATACAGATTTCTCTTTGGTCTGTCTTATAAGTGAGTTAAGATCCTGTCTTGTAGATGAAAAGTTGTCATACTCTCGTTGTCTCCAATACAGGATATGATTTACTCTTCCCATTGAAAATTTTGTTGATGAATGTCATGATAGTATATGAGAAGCTCTACCCTTTTTTTAGTTTTCTTGACTCATTTGTGGGTACTACACCTGTACAGGTACTTTTACGTTTGGGAATGCATCTATAGCAGCGACACCTGTGCTGCAGTGCAATGTGAACCAGTCAGAATTGCCCTGAGGAAGGTGACAGACGGTCACCGAAACGTCGGCTGTGAATAAAACACTTGGTTGTGTAAAAAGAGTCTCTTTACTTAGGTCTCTGTGCTGTTGATGTGTGTTTCTGTGCGAATAGAAAGCCTGACACCCACGTGTCTCTTGACCCTCTCTCTAGCTGTGGTGGTGCCAGAATATGTTACATCTTCCACGAGACCTTCGGCCGTACGCTGGACTCCATCGAACCCCTGGGAGGGCTGTCACAACTGGACATCCTCACAGCCATTAGGAACGCAACGGTAAGTGGAAGTGATCTCCATAGCTCAAATGAGCACAATGAACAGATGAGCTACTCTTCCACCTGTTATGACCGAGAAGACAGATGCTATACAGGTTCATTGCACCAGGGAAAGTTCTGTAACTCTTTTCAACTAGTACAATGTACAGTGGACCATGGTTTAATGTCCCTTTGCAGTAGCGTTCAATTTTCAATGTTATTACCTGCACTAGTGCAGGTATGTAGGAAAAAGTATTCGAGCCCTGAGCTTGTTTTTTCCAATCTGTTCTTGAATTCTCCAGAAAATGCTGGCATCTGCCTTTTACCCCTTAAAAATGAACTTTTATTCAGCTTTCATTGACACCAATGAAAGTTCTAAACAGGACTATGTGGCTCTAGTTGTCTTTCTGAGGGATGTTGGTGGTGTGATAGATGTTGGTTAGGTTGAGGAATGAATCCACTCTACTTTATAGTCCTAACTGCTGTTCTTATACCTTCCCGCCCTGTTGTAGGGCCCCCGTCCGGCGCTGTTCGTACCTGAAGTGTCGTTTGAGCTGCTGGTGAAGAAACAGATCCGTCGTCTGGAGGAGCCGAGTCTGAGATGTGTGGAGCTGGTGCACGAGGAGATGCAGAGAATCATCAACCATTGTGGCACACAGGTCTGGCACAAACGCATCTTCTTTTTATAAGCTTGTAGAGCAATAGATGGATGCCACCATAGTCCCTGACCCTCAGACATGAGGATGGGAATAGGTAAAGAGCTATAGCCAGTGCAATGGCCAAGCGGGTAGGGTGTTTGACTTGTATTTGGTATGTGGTGGTGAGTTATATACTGCTTTCTCTGTTCAACACTGAGCAATTGGGAAAGAGTATGGGAGTTAAAGTTAAACACACACCAGTACCAGTACTGGACTACATGTAGCTCCCAATAAGCCTATTCGCCATTACTAGTGCGCCTGCGCGGAGTTTACTTAGCGACGAAGAATTGGAGATAAACAAACCCGCGGCCTCCATCGTCCCCAGCGCCAGCGTATGTCTCGATTTCCAGCTTACACACGGCGTTACCGGTGGTGGCCCGCCTTGGGCTGAGTTCCAACGATGTTCTGGACCTATCTTGCCTAAAATATCGCGATATCTTTATCTTCAAGTGGATTTACGGTACGTTTTTTGACGGTATCCAAGCTAGCGCTAGCGCCTAATTAGTTATGCATGCCCCCCTCCCCCATCCTGCACGCCTTCCGTCTTCACGTTTTCCGCTCAATTTTCCGGTCCAATCTCGATAAAACGAGTTTTGGAATACCTTTTTTCGTGTAAGAGTGGTTATTTGTGTAAGGTAATGGTGGAATTTTTCAGTTTTAGTCGGTAAAAATTGTAAATAAACTGCATGAGCTTTGTCTTCAGAAGACCGATACACTACGTGTTCTTGTGTCACCCCAAGCACATAGAGCTTTCTAACCACAATCCTCACCGTCTCACCACGACATTATTACCGATTAAAAATAATGATTTAGGAATAGTACAAGCAGTGATGACATCTATATGTTTATAAATATTTAGTGTGGTTTTCGTAGCGGGATACATAGGGACATGGGGGTTTTGTGCATGCAAATGCCATTGCATTAGTGCATTCAAGACTTGATGTTTTGAACGTAAATCCATCAACTTTTGGTTCAATTTTTTTCTCTTTTTCTTTTTACAGTGTTACTTTCCCGACCTCAACATGAAGCTGTGTGCAGTAGTGAATTGCAGCAATTCAACTTACCATCTAGAAAAATGGAAGAGACATGCCAAATACATGGTACAAAAAATGGACCATTTTCCTATGAGAAGAAAAAAACCTCATGCTAGGAGAAGAGGGAATAAACTTATGAACAAGCTTGAAGCCAAACCCAGATGGAATATACTAAAAATACAAGTACACTTAGGTTCTGAAATGGTTTCATGAAAGTATATTGTAACCCGCACATAAACAGTGCTGCAAATTGTAATCATGACAGATATTTTATGTACTGAATTTTGATAGTTCTGTGCAGTAATACTGCTAAACTGGTACAGACTTTTAGTCTAACAAGGGTCTGCTGTAAATAGATTCAATATGATTATCTTTTCACTTATTAACTTGAATTAGTGGAAAATAATATATTTGAACATGATGTCAAGTCATTAACACTATATTTACCACTTAAGATACCTTTTTCCGCATGCAGTTGAGAAAGCTGTGGTGAACTGGTGTAGTTGACTCCTTCGTGCCTGCACCACAGGTGCTCCCAGTGATGGTCTAAGTACTAGTACTTAAGTTTAGATCTTTTCCACTGACTGTTGACCATAAGATCAGGTGTATGTAGAGAACTCCAGTCATTTACACTACTTACACCAAACACCTGACCCCTGCGTTTGGATCTTGAAAGTGGAATATTTAATTTGTAACTACTCTCTTGTTGTTTTTCTGACCAAACGGCAAGAAAAACAAGTCAGTTAACTGCATCGACAGTACTACATACTCACTCACATTCACTATCCGGTTTATTGTCTAAATACTAAATAATATTTGCAAGACAGCATAGGTTGTACGATGGCGATTACTAGATTACTGTAAACATTCACACTGTGATAGAAAACATACAAGCACCGTTAAACATAAACTTACTGTGTTAACACACAAACAGCTCTGCAATCAAAGTGATGTAGAAAATATAATGCCACAGCACTTGGCTCAGATAGTTGATGAAGACAGATATAGTTGAAAACTCAAATTTCTTGAGTTGGAGAACAGTTTTTTTTTAAATAAAATATGTAACTTACCAACTCAGATAACCTTTCAATTACTATTTCCCTGGACACTGATTGTACTGTTACATGTATACAAGTCTATAAAGAAAACAAAACAAGCACCATTTTGATATTTTTCTTATTCCCATATCTCTCTATATGTGGACAGCACTTAATGAATGGTGCATAGGAAATATGATATTAAATATACAATGCCATATATGTTGAGAAAGACCTGTACACTAACACAAGTATTACTGGCAACATGCAACAATCCTTTACTAAACACAAGGTTCTTCAAAGAAAATTAATGCCATGGTTGCTTGAATACTACTGTTATGTCTTGGGTTCTGTATCCTGGGTCTGTGGACAAGTTCGTCTCCGCGGCCAAGACAGTGTGGACTAAGGAGGTAAGATGTGCCTAGTCGTTTGAGGAAGCAATTTCTGTCTGCAGTTGGGGTAATATGGTGGTAAGGGACTTCGCTTACCCATTCAAAGTCGAAGTAGGAGTATGTTTTCTCCTCATCATAGTCGCCCGACAGCCGTT